GCTTGGTGCATTCTTTTTACCATTCAGGGTAGAAATAGTGGGAAAGAAGTCTCCCAATGTCAGTTATTAAAAACAACTTGCCTTAATTATGTTGCAGAACACTAAAATAAATTTTGTACCCATCAACACAGCTGAAGTTTTGGGGAAGAAACTTATCAGAATTTGATATTTTACCAAGAATAACTTTATAGAATATATTACGGTTTGTGAATGATGAATATATTTTTATGCAGAAATACACAGAAGTAACATCAAGACAATTTCCTTCTACTTCTTAATATACAGTTTTTAGGAGTTTAGTAACTAAACCCAATTATTTAATAAAAAAGTAAGCAGGGAAAATTATACCGCTGCTGGAAACGCAGGGTCAGAGGATCATTCACAACTGGTTACATCGTGCTTGCAGGTGTGTATTAGAGATTTTAAAAAGGATCTATTACTTGTTCAATGATTTTGCTTCATGCATTTAAGAAATGCCCTAGATTATTCTCAGGCATTGTTTTTCTGAAGATGATATTAGAATTCTTCAGTTTACCTTCTTGATATGGAAATTTTGATAAAGAAAATTTTATATAAGGCACTGCTTAGCCCAATGCTTCTTGTGATCAATCCCATGTATTTTAGACAGTTTAGATTGTAAGACACAAGGCAACACTTCCAATCTGATTTCTCAAAAATCATGAATCAAATAATGAGATTTTTTCTGTTTAACACCTGCTGCTTTTAATGCATTACAACTTTTAACTTTGCCTTTTGGCCTCTAATTCTTTAATTTTAGATGCTATCAAATATTAGGTCATATGACAAAGTATGAGGGAATCCTCTCCACACAGAGAATATACAAACCCAACAATATATTCAGATATATAACTGATATATATGCAGATCAGTCAGTAACACAGTAGTTGTCAAATATGACAATGAGCAAGCTTAATATATCCTCCATAAATTTTGCTCCTTTGCCTAGAAGCTTTTTTTTATTTCTGCTACCCTCTTTTGTTGTTAAATTAATGTTATTTTTAGTATAAATGGTAATTACCAACAGCAAAGATAACTACAATTAACCACTCTATTCGGTGCCAAATTTTCACAGTTAATACAAGGATAAAATACAGGAAGGGAACAAGTTACGACAAGAACCTCATTTTCCTTGAAAAGCCAAACAGCCCCCAAAGGTTAAGATTTCCTTTGGAATCAAAGCCCAGATTTTGTCTTCATATAAATGTGAACCTTGCCTTGTTGTAAGCTGTTGGCATGGTAGTCAAGTCTTAAAAAGACATATTAAATATAAATGATTATGCTAACTTCTTTGGTAATAAATTACAGAAATTACAGTGAGGGAGAGTTCCTGGGCAAAGTGAAAAATAGTGAAAAAGCATTCATCTGCCTCTGAGACAATGAGGCTTCAAGGTAACTGAAAGAAAATTCAAATATACATCTAATCTGACATTACAGATTTTGTTTAAAATGGAAAACCTTCATAGTATTTCCTTCATGTTACATATACTACATGGATCCATTTTTAATGGGTTTTCTCTAGGACAATGCAGCACAGCTGCAGTAAAGTGCAAGCTTTTCTAAGCTACTAGTCTGTCCATCTAGGAATCTACCTTATCCCTGCCACATCTAATTGTTCCAGTCATAAGCCAGTTTAACATGCCAGCTTTCGTATTTGTTTCATGCCATTACAGTGGCATGGAAGAAAAATAAAAGGGGGTGGTGATGGGATATAGACCTATCACATGGAAACTGCATTGTTGCCAGAGTCACAGACACACAGAACAGACTTGAAGAATCATGGATCAGGTTTGAGTTGCAGATAGGTAGGAATGCAAATTATTCTGTTAATGACTGTGACATTGTGATTTGATGGAAAAAAACCAAAAAATACTGTCCATCTCTATAATATTCATTCAAAAGTGCTACAGTTTTTTCCTGTTCAATTTCTGACCTATGGTTTAGTAGCTTCACAAATCAAGCCATACATATAAAATTATAGGAAAGGGATGCAATTGATTTAGTGCAAGACACTTCGATATTTATCTGAAAATAACAAACAGAGGAAGATCAAAGACTCCATACACTTCTCCATAAGGCAGATGGTAGTTTTTAAAATATAAGATCTAAAATATGTTGTTTATTTCTTAAGAGGTAGAAAATATCAAAATACTAGGAAAAAATTTCTAGCTTAAAACAATCAGTTTGCTTACTTTTTAAAAAGTCTTACTGTTGCAATTTTTAGGTTAATAAAAACAAATGAAGCTATGGAAGCACAGGATTTCGTGCTCTGTATAGATTTCACTTACTGGAAAGAGAGAGAGCTTCTTCATCTACTCAGTGCTCAAGCAGTATATACAATAATCTCCTCCTCTTGCCCTGTTAGGGTCTATAAATTCGAAGTGGAAATTTTTCCCAGTGGAAAATTTTGGCGATTCCTGAATTTCTAGCACTACATTTAACCTGGTACAATTTATGTATAAGGCAGTAGAACCACCGATGCAAGCTCAGAACTACCTCTTCCATAATACTAAGAAGAAAGTTATTAGAAACAAAAGCTTATTTAAATCTTTTCTACAGGCAGCAAAAGATCATACTCAGATTCCAGCACCAGCTGGTAATCTTGTTTTAGCAATTTATACTTGCCCAGAGACAGCTGAAGTACTCACTGCACTGTGGAATCCAAACTACAGTTTGAGTTACTAAGGCTTGCACTCCGAATCCTCAGCACAGCTAGGAGATGCTGATGCTACTGCCTCCAATGCAATTTAATAAGGCATAAGTTAACTCACAGCTGATGTTATTACACATTGAAAAAGTAGTGTAAAAGCTCCTCTTTTCCCTCTCACCGTTTACATTCAGGACTATTTATTAAATATTTTATAAAAAGAAGTTAGGGTATTTATACATTCAAACAATCATTGCAATAGTCGAGTAAAGGAAACTAATTATGAGATTCTAACTTAAGCACGATTTTGCAGATATGCACATTTGCACACATACACACACCCCACACATATACTATGTGTGTGTGTGTGTGTATATATATGTGTATATATAGATATATATAGTTATATTTTACATATATGTCTTTTGAATCAGATCCAAGAATACAGCACAGAATATCTTCACTTAGCTCCTCTTTCACCAGAGGACAGGATTGTCCAGTTTGGAAAAACCAGGTTCTTTTCTAAGGTCCATGTATGTTCCATTGCTCACCCAGGAGTCATCACTGGATTTCCTGTCAAAGGTTAAATAAACGTCTTAAAAGTAAAGCTTATATTTTCCATATATATGCTGTGTAATGCAGTGTAGTACTATGCACAGATACCCAATCCAGCCCATGAACCAGGTGCAGTGCAACTCATTACAGCCTGCAAACAAGCCAATATAGCATGAAGAGTCGAACAGCTATGTCTGCACATTGAGAGATGCATTTCAATAACCCACTATTCACTTTCACTGTCATATGTCTGTGCTTGGCACTTAAAACTACAGCCCAGGTTTATTTCATGGTCTCAAAAGCAGCTTTGAGGGGAAACTTGACTTCTGTCTGTCCAAAGATGGTTCACCATGTTTATTGCATAAAGAGAGCCTATAGCTCTCAGTCAAGAGCCAAAAAATCAGTCTGCTTTTAATCTAGTGCACAACATGTTTGGCACAACAGCTAATTATTCTTTTAAGTAAATCAAGGCTTGTGGCAGAGAGAAATCACTATTGAAAAGCCAAAAGCATTAATTTATATCTGCTCTAATACTTTTGCTATATAGTAATTAAATTCTTTATTCCACTATTTAAATCTACAGCACAAAACTCCGTTTTCAAATCCTCATTGTAAGGATTCAAATGCTGATCCTTATTGATAATTCTCATTGTGAATATACAATCACAAAGTATTAAACTGCCTCTATCCTGCTGGAAGTAAAATTTGCTTCTCTTTAGTAGGTGTGACTGGCAAATGATGAGTTAGCTCACCAGCTTATCAGATATCTAGTGATCTGAACCATTCTCTTTTTGCACCTATTTATACCTATTATAAACATTTCTGTGTTCCTCAGAAGTACAGTATATATCTATTCAGAAAAAATAGAATCCCAATCTGTTAACTGTGATACATAGGCCCATACAGCATTCACCTTGGCTCCAACTCTTTCACTGCAGAAGAGAGAAGTTGGAGGGCAAAAGACCACATCCCCACTGGCATTCATTTTTGTCTTTTGATGGCTTAAGTCTCCTGTTTAATTAATTTACAACAGGAAGAGATAAAGTGCCCTCAGAATGATAATTCTCTCCCCATAAAATAGGGGAAACCTGTTTGAAAACAGCCCTGGAAATGAAAGGCTCCAACTCAGCACACTTCTGCACCAGGCAATCCCACTGAATTTAACTGAAGTTCAGCAGAGATAATTAAGCTAAATCCAGCTATTTCACCTCGTTTGAAAGAATCAAAGATTCTGTCAGTCAGGCAGATTCAAATGTAGACTAAGTATCAATCGCCATCAAGGCAAAAAAATTAAAAAGAAATTCAAGGATGCACTAATGAAAAAGTAATATATAATTCTGAGTTTTAACTAAGTCTGGAGTATGCTACATCGCCAAAGTATAAAAAACAAGTATCTAGAAGAAACCTGGAAAAAACTGGAGCCTGCTCCATGATAATTCATAATCAGATCTATAATTAGGAATTTCAATAAATGATAGCATATGCTAAATATTATATAGTACCTGAAAAATCTAGGCTGATGCTCTAGATTGTTTTCTTCTAGCACCTTCCGTCGTTCTCTCTGTAGCTGCTCAATCCTCTGCTTTTGTATTTCAGCTCCTTCAATATTCCCTTCCTCTAGAAACCTGTAGCAGCAGTGATACAGACACAATTGGTGCTCCTCTCCCCCATTTTACAGCAGGTAGTTCACAGTGTTTCAAAGGTAAACAGCTACATCTGCAGACAACTACACTATCAAAAAGCACTTAAGGAAAACTAACTCAAAATAGTCTGAGTTTAGGTGAAAGTGAGTGTATGGAAGATTAAGAACAATTTAAGGAAGATATTTAAGAGTTAAAACTTTTTACCTTTGGTCTGGTCTAAAACGTGTATCAGTGGATGGGAGTAATGACTTAGTCTGAAGGTCCAATTCATTTAACTCCAGTGCAAATTGAGTAAATCCATACCATTGTTCATAATCTTTAGGCATTGGATCTACAGAAGAAAAGAGTACATTCAGAATTCCAAGTAAATGTTATTATCTTTAGAATAAAAATTCCAAGCTCCCTTCAGTCATTTGTTTGTCCTTGATTCACAGCCTCAGTTCTGCGGGAACAAGAGGTTTTTAACAATGTAACAAAAGAGAACATCCCCCTTGATAATTGCTCTGCAACAAGACAGATTTCTGTTCTCTCAGCTGAATCAGAGCACAACTGTGATGAAGGTCATACTATTACCATAGTGCTTTTTCAAACTACAGCAGTCAAAATCCCACGAGTTTGGGAGGAGTTCAGTTATGGCTGTCATTACAGAACTGAGCTTTGTGGGCTATCCTCCAATGTTTAACACATGAAATACATTACACTTCTTTATACAAGCAGTGGAGGGGTTTGTTCCTTTTTTTTTATTTCCCTCCTGTTAGAGTCCTCAATACCTACTTTATGCCCAAATACGAAAATGAGGGAGAAGGGAGAAAATGCAGGAAGCCACAGGATTAAAATCTCCATATTATTTAAATGATGTATTCTTCTGGTCTAAATTCTAAATGCTTGACAAAAATCCAATATTCTACAGAGAAATAAAAAGAAATTGAGGCCTAGTAAAGAAATAAAAACAGTAAGCTCCTTCTCAAGCAGATCTCAGTTCCTGTACAACAGCTGTTCTGATCACTAACTTGCTCTCCATATGCAGTTTGAAGACGAAGTTGTTCCACAGTATAAACTTTCATGCCACTTCCCAAAGAGTCGATGTACAACTTTCCCAGCTTTATCCATGACACTGCCTTCAATCTCATGTGCATTTGGACTCCAATACTTTGCCTAGAATTAAAAGGAACAAGGGAAAAAAGGTGCATAAGAGCTCAAGTGTGGTTCATTTTGCCATGCCAGTAGCACCATGCTGTAGAGCAGTTTTCTGAAATGAAAACTATTAATTTAGGTGTGCATTAAAATATCATATGCAAACAACTGTTGTTAGTACTATTAATCAGCTTATTAAAATACTAACATTGAGAATCGTATTTATGTGGTTTGACTTTTTTAGGGACAGTACTATGCGAAGCATAGCTGATCTTGAATTTTGCCAATGACAGTTGACACGGATTCCTGACTTGGTTGTCTACATCTTCCCCAAATTTGCAGAAGAGGAAGAGAAGGAACTGATACTTTAATCTCCCATTTAGACAATTTACAATATCAAAAGTGTGAAATTTGCAGGCTCTGTGTCTTTAAAATTTGAACTCTAAACATCTACTGCAGCTCTGAAACTACATTACAGTATTTTCAAATAAGTGTTTGAAAAAAATAATCACCCTAATGCTTCTTAGAAAGCACTAGGTATTCAGGAAAACAAATAAGAAAACTTTCCTCCTGCTGCTGAGCACCATGCTGCATAGGTACACTGAAGTAATTCCTTGTATCTGTATGGTCTGTTCTGTGTAAAGTACAGCCTTTCTCCAGCAATTAGACACAGAAAATGCAGGTTAAGTCTCCTAGCATGCTTTGCAAAACTATTTCTCGGGTTAGAAATTTTAGCATTTCTTTGTATTTTCATCTATTTCCTTCATTAAGAAGAAGAAGAAGACATCTATTACCAAAACCCAAATTTGATTTCAGTTCTAAGGACAATTTCTGAAGAAGTCGTATCTTGAGGCCTTGTAGTGAAGAAAAAGCTTTGAGTAACACCATAACCTACAGCTGTTGAATAAATACAACCACAGCACATGCCAGTGGGTTAGCAGGAGGCATGTGGTAAACCACTGTCAGTAGACAGCTTGTACCTATGTCTCCCATTAAACTGAGAGTAAGTTTTCCATGATATTTCTTCCTTTTCTTTCTCCATACTTTTCCCTAACTCCAGTGAAATCACCTGAGAAAGCGATTGTTTCTCTTTCTTGTCTGGCTCCGCCTACTAAACGGCAATTCCTTTAAAGTTGCTCAGAATCACAGGTAATTACAGCTTGTAAACAGTAGCACTGAGTTTCATCAGAGAGCATATCCACCCACTGCTGTGTCTGTTACAAAAGACACTGCCAACATTGCTGTGGTTACCTTTATGAAAGTCAGTTTGCAGTGGCAAGTGTCATCATTAAGATTTTTGATGATGATCTCTCCATAGTGTTCAATCCATCTCTGCCCACTTAAGATGTTATGGATGCAAGATGTCACCTTGTTCCATGCAAAATGGTCTTTAAAACTGTAAGGAAAAATACACACAAGAAAAATCATGTGTCATGTTCAAATGAGCTGATAAACTTGTGAAAATATTTGCAGAAAACTTGATCAAAGAAACTCAGAATACATTTTTTTTTTCCTGGAATGCCTCATTTTCTTGTTCCACACCTTCTCAAAACAAACCCTATGACAGCAATCCTGTCTCCCACAAAACCCTTTTTGCATCTGCTATAAACTTTGGTCTTGAATTCAGATTTCTCTCAATTTACTTATCCTTCTTTACCAGTTTTAAGTTTCCAAAAGAAATCATTCTAATGGCTTCTACTGTCTGAAATGCCCATTTCACAGCTTGTAACAGTGACAACAGAAAACACAAGGACATGGGCCACCAGAGTCATCTGAGGACTTAGTGAGTGGGATGAGCTTGGCTCAAGCTCTCAAGGCTGAGCGTATGTTTTTGCTTTAGGCAAGAGCAAAACTTCTCACCAGCTACTTCAAGATGCAGCTGCACACTGGAAGACAGCAGACAGGGAGAGATGAACAAATGCCAATAAGGTAACACAACATTCTACCTTTTATTAAAGAAGTAGGTGTTCTTATAAAACAGCTTTATAAAACATCGAGGAAAGTTTCATGAAGACATATTCTACAATTTGTTCTGGGTACGAATAGCCAAGTCACTACTGGTAAGGTAAAGGATAAACTTAGAAAGCACCAGTTTCCCCATAGCAACTGCTTCACACACATTCCATGGAGATATTGGAATCTGCCCTTACCTCCTATTCATCCCTTGCTTTCACTTACTGATTTATAAGAGCACACACACAAAGACAGTTTTTACAGACCAGCAGATACGTGATCAATTTACCCCACAGTAACTTGTTTTTCTGCCCCTAACTATGCAGGTCACATGGTCTATCACAAATGCTAAAAAACTGTAATTGCTCCAAAATTAACCTTAATACTAATGCTTTATTTTTCCCTATAGCCTTAGCACCTTTTCTGTACCTAATTCTATATCAAATACACAGGGATAGAAAACAGCACATGAAGATCACATATAAATCAGATTGTTTTCCAGTTCATCAGCCCATTATGAGTTCTAATATTAGTTATTTTGCTTCTGAACCCTCATTCACATCCTAAAAACCTTTCATTCCACAACTTAGGCTAGCTGCTATGAACATAGCATGGTTTATACATTACCTTTTGGATAACATCTTACGATATCACAATTTTATCCACTTAAAAGAAAAATGCATGCTTAGTCCCTTAGTTTGATGAGTGCTATGTTCTTGAACTATTTTTATTCTTTTTTTTTTAAATTGGTAAAATAATTAATTTTGTACTCTTTTTTTGGAAAACAGATTTAATTGGAACATTACTCAACCTTTAGATCTCTGGTTCTGCAAACATGATGGATATAGGACAAATTTTAAGGGATTTTAATTGTTGATCAATAATGGGCACTTTGACAAGCTAGCATAGGAACATTGCAGATTTTTATTAAAAAAACCTAAACAAACAAAACCACAAACAAAACAAAACAAAAAACTATACTCAACACTTAACTACAGTGGCTGCTTACTTCCTTGGATAATAAATACCAGATATGTAACTGGTTCTATTTATCACCTACAATAATTATTTCTGCAGTGGTGATGGCTGTTGACCTCACCTACAGTCCAGAACCCCATGGTGTCAGGGTCCATACAAATATAGGTACAAAGATAGGAAAAACAACAACATCCATTACCCCAAACCCATATTCAAGCAAAATAATTTGTAGCTTCCTCTACCAAGCAGTTTTCCTCTGTGACTTTAAAATGCATAAAGGTTGAAATTCAACTGAAGTATGAAAATACCAACTTTTCTTTTTTCAAGGCACACAGTAGTGATTTTTTTTTTCAATGTTTGTTATAACTTTTGGAAGAGTTGGTGCTTCTGATTTATGCTTCTGGTTTTGTTTTGGCGGTGTTCTTCTTCTTCCCCTTTTCCCCCTTTTCTTTTTAAATTAAATCATAGTCACCAGTTCTTCTAAAAGTCTAACAAAGCACAGCACAGCTTGTTTTCATCTGGATAAATGTGGCTTTAGTGTGTCCAAGTACATCTGTGCCTGTGTGTGAACAGCAACGCACAACTGCAGCACTTACGCTGGAAGAGTTACATGTGTTGTACCAACTGGAACAATTTCCATGGACTTTCCCCAGAATTTGTTTTTCCATCTTACATCTGAAACAGGAAGAAGAAAAAAAAAAGATAGGTTTAGTCATAGGCATGGATGAATCAGTCTGTTCCTGAGTTCTACTTCATCGTCAAGAAATTCAAAATAACAAAGTGCAACGTAAGTGCTCAAAGAATGCTGTGGACCTTCAAACATTGGTTGTTTGGTTTTTTGTTGTTTGCTTGTTTTGTTTGATTCTCATTATATTATTATTAAAATAGCAAAGTAACAGATGTTTAAAGTCCTCTCAAAAACTTTTTCAAAAGAAAGGAATTTGAAAAGCTATAGGCAGCATATACTTGTCTACAATTCAGTTGCTAGTGAATGAATGCAGACTTTTCAAAAACAAAAGCAGAATTTCAAATACAAAAGTATAACAAGAACATCCACAGTGAAGAGGTCAAAGAATGTTTCAAAAGGCACAAAATTACAGAGGGATTTAGTCTAACTTCCTCTGTAAGTTTAACTGCCTTTTTAATATCTTGACTGAATCACAGAAAGACGTCCAAGTCACATCATTTCTTAAAAAAAACCCCAAAAAGATAAGAAAACTCAATGCAAGTTTAACCAAATTTATTAAGCAAAAACACCTGGAGGAGAAAGAAACATAGAGAAGCATGGCAAAAGGGGTTTAGAGTTAAACTGGGCTAGATAATCAGATAGTAACTTCCATAATAACTTCAGAGCTCAGGGGAATAGTACCTTTCCTACATCAGACACCAGGAACTCCATTTCCTACACAATCTGAAAAAGAGGGGAAAATTCAACTCTAGTCTCAAAAAGATGTTAGTTCTAGCACAAGGAAAACAAGTGATGACTGAGCCACACCAAGCTGACTACCATTGCAAAGACTGGAATGGGACATAAGGCAGAATGGAAAAAAAAAAGATCCTTTTCTTATCAGTTGAGAGAAGGACCTTTTGTGGTTTTTTCTGTTTTGAAGTTTGATGCTTAGTCAGCATCTTCAGTGACAGCGATTCTGTTGTGATTCCTACACTGCCCTATAACAGGTCCAACACTACCTAGAGTATGACATTGTTGAGCTGAATTCTGTACTAGCTTTCTCTCTTTTGCAGTGGGATGGAAGAGAAAGAACAAAACAGCAAACCCTGCTGAGTTTAACAGTTTAAATGCATTACCAGACTGTTTCACATTCTATGTTCTCACAGATGGCAAAGCTGTCCCACAGTGATCAGTATGTGGGAGACATCTTGGGAACCAGTGTGCAACTTGATCATACAAGAATTTTACGACAGCAGAGAAAAGCAAAGTGTTATTTCAAAGAGATGCTCAGACTAATTCAGGTACAGACGTTGTAATAGCTGGAACTTTCTTAATTTCCACTGCTCACGTGTCAACACTGCTTTGCAGAGTCAGCTTCCTAAGTCATGAAAAGCTATTTCCAAAATATCTGTCCCTGTCAGAACCCAGTCTTCTAGTTCACTAGAAATGATCAAGAGATTTATTGATATTGGAACACATGAACTAAGGTCTGTTTCTGGTGGGATGACAGCACTACTCTGGCAATGTTGCTGAGTACTATCTCCTTTTCAGCTGAGAAGGTAATACAGCAAGTGAAAAGATCTTTGCACACAGAAAGAACTAAACTCACTGACAAGCTGCCTTTATGATTAACTTGATATTAATCTTTCTACACATAAGTTAATATAATCTCATTACAAGAGGTCACAGCAGTTAAAAATTGCCTTTGCTATGGAAAAAAGTCGCTGTCTAGACCTCCTGTAAGCTCAGCTAGCCACATTCAAAAACATATCAAACAAGAAAACCTAAACCCTACTATAACCTGATCGATTCTCCAGTGCTCATCAAGACCAAATCTCAGACTCTTTCTCATTAAACAGATTCTCAGCTCTCATTATTACAGCAGACCTTTTTTCTCTAAATGGAAGTGTTAAAATATTTGAGTGATAACAGTTGTCAAGATTTGTTAAACAAATCAGTCTCATCTATTTTTATTAAGACAAGCTGGTATCTAGTCTTATTTATACAGTATTCAGTTACTGAATATATTTTTGGTCATCTTAGCTTTTTGGTTAACAACAAAATGATTCTTGTGTCTCTTTGCTTACAAGGTAAAGAATTACATGGAATAATAAAACTCAGACTAATGGGTTCCAATTTCTGTTCTTTATGGCTACATCTGTAATAACTATAATCAAGTCAGCAGAGTCAATCATAAAAAAAAGATTATAGTATGGCTACATTGTGAATTGACAAACCTCTGGGTGAAGGATTTTAACTGAGTTAAAAGGCATAGTTATGTTTTGTGTACACTCCAAAATTATCTAACCATGCAAGGTACTATTACTGGCTGACATCTTCACCAGCATTACACAGCAAACAAAGCTTCAACACACGTCTTTTGAAACAATGTTAGGAGTTACACAGCACAAAATCTTACATACTGTAATAATGCCAGCATGTAAATGTATTTTCCCTTCCTGTTAAGCCCATTTTTGAGAATTACTTTCAGAACAGGTTTACAAGATTTGCCAAGGTTCAGGATTTAACTTATAGTTTTTTTCATGCTGTCTTCTAGATTGTTTGTTTTATAAATAGCTTGAGGTACAATTCTTCTTTACTAAAAAACCACACATTCAGAACCCCCTGATTTTTAAGAACTGCAGACATTTTTACATTAAAAGAATAATCAGTGTTATATATAAAAAACCAAACCACCTTGAACTTTTTTATAATAGCAGAAAATCCAAGTAAGAAGCATGCAAGTAAGTATAGGTTAGCATTTCTTAAAGGCATTCTAATACACTTAAAGAAGGAATTTCAACTTTTCCTAATTTCTGCATATTTTGTGTTAGACATACAATGAAAATATTATGAACACTATAAAAGTAAATGAGAGACTGAAGAGTTACCTTGCCAAAAAGCAAAATTCACAGATTCAGCATGGCATGCAGAAATAGGTGGATGGTGACTGACCTAACAAGACATAAAAGGGGGAAAAAAAAGATGAACATATTAACCCTTGAACTGTCATTTTGGTTTGTGTTCCTGGGTTTTTTCCCGTTTCACTCCCATACGGCATTTACAATTTGAACATTTACTTTCCCTTTGCAGTTGTGCCCTGAAGGGGGAGGCAGTGAGATTAATAAGGTACTGAGGCTTAAGAAGCCTTGAAATAAATGGGAAACACTTATTTTAAAAGGCCTGTGAATGTTGTT